GGGCTATTTTCTTCCATTCTTATAGGTTAGGGGCTAAAACCGTTATGTTATAAGGTGAGGGGCCAAAACCGTCCAACTTATCAAGGTAAGGGGCTATTCTTGGGCTTTTGCCGAAAGCAAAAGGCAATCAGCGATAACAATATGGAAAATGGTATAGTGTATTTTGTAATAAGTTATACTATAGTTAAAAATTAGAAAAGGGTGAAAATCAAGGCTTGAAACTTTAAATATTAAAATTTTTTATATATTCATTTATTAAATATATTTAAATAATTTTTTAAAAAATACTAGTATTTAATTATTAAAATGTTTTATTTTAATTTTCTGCATTTCTTAAAAGTTATTTATGCCATATTTAATTAGTATTATCCAAATTAAAATGAATGGAAAAATTAATTGATCATAAATAACCGATGGAATGGAGAAATTAAAGTAAGCTACAAAGACAGTGCAGGATTAGTTAACAAGAATATATGCAGTTAAACAATTAAAACGAATTTCTGCCTGTGCATGCAATAAATGTACCATTTACATATCAATTTATATAAAAAAAATATAAAAACTAAGTTTAATTTCAGCACTAATATCATGGAATCGACACATAAATTAAAAGAGTCAAACATAATTTATAGCAAGAGTATTCCTGAACAAGCTTTTAAGCACATTAATTAATTCCTTTCGGCTAATATTGAGTGCATACTCCCATGTCAACATGATATATTTAAAAAAATTAATTTTTGTGTATTAGTTTAAAAAAGAAAGCATCTTTGCAAAGCTTAGTTAAAATCCATTTTATAATCTAATTTTTAAATTTTTTTTAATAAAATTTTAAATTTAAAAAAAATAATTTACCTTTTAAAACAAGTACTTTCACTACTAGAATTCATAAATTCCGCGATGAGAAATCATGTTAGCAAGAAAGGAAATCATGTCGGTAAAGCAATTTTCTGATAAGAATCATGTCAGTAATTTGGTCCTCGGTGAAAGTGGCCTCGGTAATTCATTCACCGACATGGATAAAAGTTACGTCGGTAAGATGACTCCAAATTACCGACAAAAGCCATGTGTCCAAAGTTGTTCCGGAACAGTACCATCGGAGTTCTTTTCTATAACCCACATCAGTAATTCATCGACGAAGATCATGTCTCCAAGCACAATAAACAGTGTCTTGGCAGGTGGGATAGTGGCTAGTTACCCACAAGAATCATGTCTCTACCTACTATGAACAATTGCTCACTAGGTGGAGCAGGTTGGCTAATTACCGAGGAGAATGGTGTTTGAAATTTGAATTGGCACTGCAATGCAAGAATTTTTAGTTTGGCAAATTACCGATGAAGGTCACATGGGTACATAAATCTATTTAAGAAAAAAAAAGAGTTTCCTGAATTAATATTGAAATTAATATATAATTTTCATTTAATTCAATTAATTTACAATTAAATATTACATAATTCATAATATTTAATTTATAATATTAAAATATTATAGTACATAAAAAAATTATTGTGTTTATTTATTCAAATTAATGATTAAAACAAAATTTAGAAAATAAGAATAATATTACAAACTTAAAATATAATTACATAATCCAAAAAATTAAAAATTACCTCAATAGAGTGAATTTACAAAACACCATTTCCTAAAAAAATTAAAAAAAAAAGTTAAAAAAAAAACCAAAAATTAAGTTATTATTTATATATAATTATTTCAACCAAATAATAATAATCAAAATAGAAATGAAATTAAATGGTAGTTTACATAAATAAAATTGATTTAACCATACCATTGTCTCTCCCAACAATGTTTCTTGGAAAACAAAATTAAAAAAAGAGTTAGAATTACGATTAAATAGATTAATAACACATTATTGTTTAATCAAATAAAGAGAAAGAATGGAAGAGAAAAAAAAGAGGAAATTGAGAAGATGCAAACTTAAAATTATATGAATATAATGTAATTATAAACATAGTACAATTAATCTAGCAGCATCTGAATAATGGAAGAGAAAAGGGGGAACATAGAAGGGAGGAGAAGAAAAAAGAAGAAGAAGGAAAGAAAGAAAGAAAGAAGAATTAAGCGAGTTAGGGTGTTGTGGTAATATATAGAGTATTTTACCAATGTGGTTCTTGTCGAAGTTTATTTTACCGACAAAATGCACATCATAATGTTGCTTGCACACGGGAATCCAAAATGTGCAAAAATTTTCCAATCCCACCCAATTTACTAGCATGAAAATTATGTAAAAAATTCAATGAACCAAAATTCATATTTAACCTAAAATTTACTCAAACCAATAAATCTCATAATGTTAATATCAAACACTTGATATTAAAATTTTACAATTAATTATTGAAATTTCACTAAAAAGTTATCAAAAATTACTAATAACTATCCAAAAAATTTAGCTCAAACAACAATCTAACAAAATTAATATCCAATGAACTAATGATAATATTTGATAGCTTAAATTTCAAAAAAATAAAATATATATCAAATATTTAAATTTAATATAAAATAATAAAAGTAGGTAAATTACACTTACCATTGCTTACCAATGGAGCAGTTAATTACGAGACAGGGAATTTAATTTGTTGGAGGAAATATTTTGGAAATGTTGTGCTTTTCATGTTTTGAAAGGGTCCAGTGGAGCAAACTGCCTTGGAGTATGTGGAGATTGCTTTATGGTTGAATATTCAAAACTGTTATTATTTTATATGGGCAGAAAAATTTAGATCTAGCTGTCGAACAAGGACTCATACACTGTAAGAAGCAAAATGCTAGTGTGATTCGAAGGAAAGAATGGAGGAAAGGAAAGCAAAGCAAAAAC